ATTGTATTAAGACATGATATTATTATGTTGTTCTATTTGGTGAGCATGAGAGTTGTCCATGCCACATTGGTATATGTTATGTTTGATTCAGACTTGAGTTGTATATTGTATCAGGATATTGTCCGGTCTACGTTTTGTAGTTTCGTGACTTGATGCGTATTTATGTAATGAGGTTATTCAGTGTAGTTATTTATTGCAATTTACGTACAGGCGATATTTTCGAAAAAGAATAAGTAAATCCACTTGGTTAATATGTTAAGTTTCATAATTGAAAAAATTTAGTTTCCACATTTATTGAGTTGCGCTATTACCATTTATATCTTTAATACACCGGGTGCACACGGAGTGTTACACTTATCATATTTGTTAAATTAGAATATTCACTAACTCAATTAATTTAAAAATACAAAACTTATTAATTAATATGGCCTGCATATAGCAAAATTTCTAACATGAGGTATATTAATATATATTCGGCTTATACTCATTGTCTATTATATGCCAAAATCTCTAGTTTAGTTGACATACCTAAGTAGTCACATGGCCACGGTAAAGTGGATTTGAGTAGGCTTCTTTATGAATCTTGATAGAAGACTTGTATCAAACATGATGTCGAGATATGTAGAAGTCAAATAGAGCAAGCTACTAATCGGACTCTTATGCTTCTCGTCAGCCCTCAATGACCCATCGTCATTCAGCAACATTTTGTTTGTAACGAGTGAAGTGATCACAATTTTTTTAATATATATTTTTTTTTGGATTAAATATATTATATATTATTATTTTACTTTATTTTATTTCGCTGATGAAAATCCCATCTCCAATTCGGTTGATTTCCATGCGTAGAAAGCAACTCAAGAGACGAAGATTTATCATCTCAAATTTTGTCTTCATATCTTCCTTAAATGAACGTTTGGTAGAGGAGAAATTTGTTGTTAATAGAAAAAAAAAATTCCACTAATATGGTAGGAACTATTTTTTGCCGGGTAAGTTACAGAAATATATTTGGTAGGTCAAAATTTTAACAGAAAAATTGTATGAATTTTACTGATGTTATACTTGGATGAATGTAAAATATTGATGAAAAGATAAATAAAATGACCAAATTATCCCGAATTTTAAAAATTTAAACTGTTTGTTATAAAAATATTATTTTACCTGTCGTCCTTCTCTCTCTCTCTCTCTATCTCTCCATGTTCGTTTCTTTCTATGTGTCATGCTTCACCTCTCATTGGTATTTATGATTGTTGTTTTTCCAATTTGACAAGTAACGAGTAGTTTTTTTTTTTAATTGATAACTTTTTAATACTCTATCTTCATCATCTTTGAAGCATCTAACTGAGTTTTCTTTTTAATTTCTGGCACCTTTAAATCAAATAGGCTACTTAAAAGTAGTTTAAAGTTCTCTCTGTCTTTATTTTTTACATGGCACTGGCAGTTAATTCTCCCCTGCTTTGCAGATTAAGCATATTTTAATTGAGGGGTGGACTTACCATTTTTTCAACAAACAATTATAGGTGGTTTCTGGGATACATCTGTTGTGATGCTTGTGGAAGATTGTTTGTGAAAGGGAACTACTGTCCTATTTGCTTGAAGGTGCCAATCTCTTCTGTTGATCTCACACCGTGAAGACGAAGAAGACGAGGAGAAAAAATGGTGTTTCAAGCCACTTCTATTTTGTTCAAACCACTCATAAGCGCATGGGTATTTTTGTCTCACAAAATTGTTGCATATTTGTTATACCCCAATTGTTTAATTGATTTAAAATGTGTTTTGATGATTACAATCAATTTAATGTTAATTTAATTGATAATATTTTATTGTCTTGAAATTACTAATGAGCTGATTGTTTGAGATTTAAAAATAATATTTATTCTAAATTGAAATAGTATTCAAGATAATTGAAGATTGCATAAAAATTAGAGAAAACATGGAAGATATTATGAAGAGAGAGAAAAGCATGGGATCAATATTCAAGATAATTGAAGATTGCATGCAGATTGGAGAAGATATGGAAGATATCATGAAGAGATAGAAAAGCATGAAATCAAGTAAAGATTAGGATAGATTTTATCTTTTTAGATTTCATGTAAGAGAAATAAAATATTCTTTGCCAAAGATTTGATTAGGATTGCATTGCATAATAGATTAAGATGTTATTGTTATAAATAGGGCTCATTGCATATTGTTGAAAGAGGAGAAAATACAAGAGAGAAAAGAGAGAAGAATATACAAGAAAGAAAAAAGAGAATTAGATTTTCAAGATTATGATTCGTTCTTGTACATTAATTGAAGAGCTTTCTCGAGAACAATCATTCGTTCTTGTTCATCATTTGGCAAAGTGAATATTTCTCCATAGGAATTCATATTATCTATGTGCTTGAGGAAAAGAAGCACTGAGGTAAATCATTTAATTGTAATTTTTTTCTTGACCTTTTTGAAGGTCTGTATTGGGAAACTTGGATACTAGTTCTTGTGCTGGAAAATTGGGATACCAGCATATCTCTTTTTCTTGAAAATTGAGAGTAAGTTGAGAACCCTTGTGTGATAGGGTTTTGGAGTCCTAAAGGGTTAGGATTTCGTACTGGGAAACTAGGATATCAGTTTGAGAATTTGTGTAAGGGGTAGACTAAGAAACTAGGATACTAGTGAACTCTTTATACACAAGTTTCATAGTGGAGTTGCCCGTCGAATTTCAGTATTCGATTTTAGGGCCCATGGTTTTTCTTCCCTTTTGGGTTTTTCACATAAAAATTATTGTGTTAATATCTATCTCTGTATCATTATCTTGATTTATTGCTTTGAGTTAATTTTTAATTAGCAAATTATTTTTATAAAACTCAATTCACTCCCCTCTTGAGTTCATACGGGACCAACAAAAATTGGTTTGACTTTCCAACTGCGTCGAAATTTTTTTTTAGCACACCTTCTATGGCAAAATTTGGTTCACAAATCATGTGTAAACCATAAAACCAGCAAAAAAAATTTCCTCACCCTTTTCTAGTTTCTAGCCTACTAAACATGGCCAATTTATTTACCCCACCTCACTCTCTTGAGAATTTTTTTTTCCCTCCTACCAAACACCTCCTAAATGTTATGATCAAAGTAAAAATCACTTCCAGCAATCAATGTAGTGAATTATCCTCAATCATCCAGCGAAGTACCTCCTTGTCTCCGGAGTCGGTGGATTTCAATATATATATATATATATATATATATAATATATATATATGTGCGCGCGCTAAGGGAAAAATGTGTATACTTTTAAGGATGTACAGTTGTGTCATTTTAAGTAAAAGTAAGAGATAAATCATGGAAAAGAAAATGGAAGGAAAAAGTTTTAAAGATATAGATCCCACCTCTTTATAAGAAAAAAATGATGTAAGGTGTGTCATTTAAAATGACATACTTTTTTTCCATATGCTAAATAACATTTTTATTTTATTTTTTACTTTGAAACGCTTAATGACGTAATTTTGTATAGCAAATATTTCTTACTTATGTTGATGAAAAAAAAAAAAAGAAATAGATTAAATAAAAGGGTTTAATATTTCTCCCCGAAAATATATTTTAGTAGAAATGACATGGAGATATTTTTATATGAAAGTATGAAACATAACAATTTATAATTGACAACATATGGTACATTAAAATCAAATCAATTTGTTCACATCATGAATTTAATATCAATAAATACATAAGGGATGAAATAGACCTAAAGTAATGCCAGATCTGCCAGCGGTTTCTGGAGGTGTGCTTCTTTGACTGGCAGAGATGTCTTCAAGCAACGCCTTACTCGGATCCAAGCGAGCATTATATATTAAAAAAACAATAATAATAATGCCAATCAGTCGCTCTCAACCATGCTTTATATATATATATATATATATATATATAGGTTTGATTTTCTTATGTTGAATGAGAATTCAATTATCATGTTGTAGAGATAAAAAGCATGTGCGATCCATGTGTTAGAAAAAATTATATGTAGGACCCATGTCAGCACGAAAATCAAAAGGTGAGTAAGAAAATTATAATTCTCATGTTGAATGAGAATTATAAAACCATATATATATATATATATATATATATATATATATATATATAAAAGTTATTCTTATGTTGCATAAGATATATTTTTTCTCCTACACACCCTTCAATAACTGTGTCACTTTTTTTTTTTCTTTTCTTTTTTTTTTTTAGGTGGTGAAGCTCACAAATTTATCTCTATGACATGAGATAACTATCTCTTTTAACATGAATTAATAAAACCCATATATATATATATATATATATATATATATATATAGAGAGAGAGAGAGAGAGACAGGATTCTTTGACACCGGTGTCAAAAAAAAAGTTTGACACCTCATCTGAGAGCCGTTAGATTAAAAAAAATCAACGATTCTGATTTGTAAGCATGTGACACCATTGATTTTTTTTAATCTAACGGCTCTCAGATGAGGTGTCAAACTCTTCCTTTGACACCGGTGTCAAAGTATCATGCCTCATATATATATATATATATATATATATATATATATATATATATATATATAGTAGGATATTCTTACACCGGTGTAAGAATTATAAAATGATCCTGAACCTATATATATATATATATATATATATATATATATATATATATATATATATATATATATATATATATATATATATATATATATATATATATATATATATATATATATATGAAGAGGTAGGATCATTTGACACTGGGGTCAAATTTTAAGTTTGACACCTCATCTGAGAGCCGTTAGATAAAAAAAGATCAACGGTGTCACATGCTTATAAATCAGAGTCGTTGATCTTTTTTGATTTAACGGCTCTCAGATGAGATATCAAATCTCATATATGAAATTAAAGTATATGTTTTTAAACATACAGATATAGTACCGTACCATTTCTTGAGCCACAACCACGCTCTAAGGTTAAAATATATAATGTTAAGCAAATCACACATGGATGCGCATGCGTATCTTAAATAAATCCATCAAGCACACTACTGTTTCACACACTACAAATAGAGCTAGCATCTTACTTAGAACCTTATCTTCATTTCTTCATAAAACACTTTCATCTTCATGATAATGAAGGACACCATAGTTCTATACCCGGCATTGGGGATAGGACATCTAGTCTCTATGGTTGAGTTAGGGAAGCTAATATTAACCCACAATCCTTCCTTTTCCATCATAAGTCTCATCCATACCCCACCCAACAACAGCAACCACAATAACCAACACACCACTTCCACCACAACATTTGACTGCGACTCCACCTCCCAATACATGGCCACCATATCCCCCACCGTACCTTCCATCACTTTCCACCACATCCCACCCCCCATATCATTCCCCGCCAGCACCACCCTCCCACCTCACATACTCACCATCCAGCTATGCCATCATAACAATCAATACGTTGGCCATGTTCTCCAATCCATTTCTGAAACCACCAACCTTAAGGCCATTGTAATGGACTTCTTCAACTACAGTGCCACCCAAGTCACTGCAACCCTTAACATCCCCTCTTACTTTTACTATACCTCAGGAGCTTCTTGTTTTGCTATGCAACTTCATCTTCCAACCATTCATCAGAACACCACAAAATCTATCAAAGACCTTCAAATGCATCTTCAAATCCCTGGAGTACCAAAGATTCTCCCAACAGACTTACCAACTGAAGTGCATGATCGTGCGAGTCAGAGTTACCAAGTTCACCTTGTTATAGCAACAAGCATGAGGGACAGTGATGGGGTTATCATAAACACCTTTGATGCTATTGAAGGAAGAGTTATCAGAGCGTTAAGCGCTGGTTTATGCTTACCGAAAGGAACTACACCGCCGGTGTTCTGCATTGGACCATTGATTTCGCCCCCTTGTAGAGATGAAGATGAGAGTGGTTGTTTGAGTTGGCTCGATTCACAACCGAGTCAAAGCGTCGTGTTGCTGATTTTCGGAAGCATGGGATGGTTTTCGAGGACTCAGTTGAAGGAGATTGCTATTGGGTTGGAGAAAAGTGAGCAAAGGTTTTTGTGGGTTGTGAGGAGCGAGTTAGATCGGGTGAACCCAGAACCGAGTTTGGAGGAGTTGATGCCAGAAGGATTTTTGGAGAGAACCAAGGAAAGGGGATTGGTGGTGAAAAATTGGGCACCACAGGTAGCGATTCTGAGTCACAACTCGGTGGGTGGATTCGTGACTCACTGTGGGTGGAACTCGGTGTTGGAGGCTATTTGTGAAGGGGTACCAATGGTGACGTGGCCTTTATACGCAGAGCAAAAGTTCAACAGAGTGATTTTGGTTGAGGAAATGAAGGTGGCTTTGGCACTTAACGAGTCCAAAGATGGATTCGTAACTGCAACTGAGTTGCGAGACCGGGTTAAGGAGCTGATGGACTCGGACAAAGGAAACGAGATTAGGAAAAGGATTTTAAATATGAAAACAAGTGCTCTGGAAGCAAGAGCACACGGTGGATCTTCCCCTGTTGCTTTGAATAAGTTGGCTCAGTTGTGGAAATAATTCTGAGTTACTTATCCATAAATATGATATATATTTGGCCCAATATCATACTCATCTTTAGCTGGTTGAGGGTCTTGTTTTATTATCTGTGAGTGGTCATTGTGTACGTAATTCACAAGTCCTCTAATAGTATTTTTTTCAAACTCCCAAAAAACAAACAAGTAACATATCTCTTTTTTAATTACTCTCTCTTTCAAGCTTCTTTTTTTTTTAAACAATAGTTTACATAGATCTATTTATAAGTAATAGCAAATAACTAAGAATGCTAATGACCAACTTAGGAAATCTAAACATAATAATAACTACTTCTTAGAAACTTTAAACTCATTAATATCCACTAACAAATTCCTAAGGGACACTTCCCTTTACCACAAAACTCTTCTTTTTCTATTTTCTTTAATTAAATGGGCTGCTTGAGAGATCAACAGCCTGATTGTCTCCATTCTTGCTATGGGTGCGAACACCTCGTCATAGTCAATGCCGGCCTTCTGCCTTTACCCTTTCGCCACTAGCCGGGCTTTGTATCTTTCGATCTCCCCCTTAGCGTTCATTTTCTTCTTGTACACCCATTTCACACCAATGGGCCGACTTCCTTTGGGCAGCTCGGCTAACTCCCACGTCTTGTTCTTTTCTATTGCTTTAATCTCCTCCTCCATGGCTGATTGCCATTTCTCATCTCGGATTGCTTCTTCAAAACTCACTTCTTCAGAATCTGCCAACAAACATACCAAGTGTGCTTCGTTAGTTGAGTCATACAAGTCTTGCAAGCTCCTCATTCTCGGTTGTCTCTGCTAATCCGGTATGTGTGCATATGCAACACTACCAAAAATCTTGAAATGAGCCACTGATGGCTTTAGACCGCTCCATGCTTCTTGTGGAGTTTTATCATTCACACTTGAGTGCGGACATCGGTTCTGCACGTACACTGCACATTGTACGGCCTCTCCCCAAAACTCTTTCGGCATGTTCTTCGTCTTCAACATAGATCGGACCATATCCAAGATAGTCCGGTTCTTCCTCTCAGCTACTCCATTTTGCTGGGGCGAGTACGGTGCGGTCAGGAACCGCCTTATCTCATGTTCTTCACAATACTTCTTGAAAGCTGTTGACACGTACTCCCCACCTCGGTCTGAACGGACCGATTTGATGTACCTCCCAGTACCATTCTCTATCTTTACTTTAAAACTCCTAAATGCCTCTAGCACCTCGGATTTTTCCTTCAAAAAATACACTCAAGTCTTTCGACTGAAATCATCAATAAAAGTTACAAAATACTTCTTACCACTGAAGGACCCCGGAGTAATGGGTCCACACAGGTCGGTATGTATCAAATCCAGAGGCTGCCTAGCTCGGTATCTCTCCATCCTTTGGAACGGGCTCCTCGCATGTTTTTCCAATACACAGTCCTCACAAAATTTTCCTTCAGAGTTAATCTTTGGTAGTCCTACTACCATGTTTTTCTTCATCATCTCGGTCAGACCACCGTAATAAAGGTGTCCAAACCGTCGATGCCACAGCGACATCTTGTCCTCCACCTCGGCTTGCAGACAGCCGACCTCCATGCTCCTCAGACTCTGCTTGTACATTCTATTCTTTTCCATCTGAACTCGGGCTATCAGACGCCCTTGTATATCTTTCAATAGTAGAACTCGGTCTGTCATTAGAACCGAGTAGCCCTTTTCCATCAACTGTCCTGTCCAACGCTCAGAATATTGCTTTTGAGCTCAGGCATGTAATAAACGTCCCGAATCATACCAACTTGTCCATCCTTTTGCAAGAAACAGATTGCACCTCAGCCCTTTACATCAATTTTGGACGCGTCTCCAAAAGAGACATGTCCGGCTTCCACTGTTTTCAACTCCTTGAACAGATGTTTGTAACCACAATTGTGATTACTGGCACCAGTGTCCAAATACCACTCCGACTCATTCTTTGAACTTGTTTCACCATGGGCTAGCATAAGAATTCCTCCATCTCCTTCTACAGCGAGGTTTGAAGCCTCGTCAACTCTTCTTTCATCTCGGCAATCCGTAGCGAAATGCCCAACTCGGCCACAGTTGTAGCACCTGTCCGAGTTGCAATCTCTTGCGTAGTAACTATACTTCCCACACTTATGACATTCTACATTATTTTGATTCGACCATTGGCCTCTTCCGCCTCGGCCACGTCCTTTACCTCTCTAGTTTTGCTGACTCGTCTCGGCTCTTTCTTCATGTTTCACCTCCTGACCTCGGCCTCGACCACCTCGGCCATTTCCTCGTCCACCTCGTCCACGACCTCTACCTCGGACATTCTGAGAGTAGAGAGCTTTTTCTTCCTTGATATTTGCTTTTGACTGGAGTGCTTGCTCTAGTGTCTCTTCCTTCTTCTTTTTCTTGCGCTGTTCATGCGCCTCAAGAGAACCCGCTAGCTCTTCAACAGAGAGCGTAGCCAAGTCCTTAGACTCCTCAATTGCACATACCACGTTTTTGAAGTCGTCTGTCAGCGACCTTAGAATCTTTTCAACAACTCTAGTCTCAGATAATTCCTCCCCATTCTGTTTTAACTGATTCACCACGGCTTGAACAAGGGTGATGAAACCGGATACACCCTCTGAATCTTTCATCTTCATTCCTTCCAACTCGCCACGCAGAGTTTGAAGATGGACTTGCTTAACTCGGTCAGCTCCTTTATAGACATTCTCCAAGATGACCCACGCTTCCTTTGACGTCGTCGCACTTGGAATCTTCTCAAATCCGGACTCATCTACAGCTCGGAATAACATGTATAAGGCTGCCTTGTCCTTTGCACGCGTATCTTTCAACGCCTTGGTTTGAGCTGCTGAGTATCTTGCGATAGTTGTAGGTTCAGCAAAATCGTCCTGAATAACATCCCAAGTATCTTGGGATCCGAGCAACGCCTTCATCTGAATGCACCAATTCACATAATTAGCCTTTGTCAGGCGGGGCAACGGCATACTGGAAGTGGTCACACTCTCCATAGCTCTGATACCAATTTGTAATTCACATGTCCTCTAATAGTGTTTCTCTCAAACACTCAAAAAACAAACAAGTCTCTGAACATACCTCTTTTTTAATTACTCTCTCTTTCAAGCCTTTTTTTTTAAACAATGGTTTACATAGAGCTATTTATAAGTAATAGCAAATAACTAAGAATGCTAATGACCAACTTAGGAAATCTAAACACAATAATGACTACTTCTTAGAAACTTTAAACTCATTAATGTCCACTAACAAATTCCTAAGGGACACACCCCTTTACCACAAAACTCTTCATTTTCTATTTTCTTTAATTAAATAAAGTTTAAACCCAACAGTGTATTGGTGTTTTGAATACTGCACTCTCTTTGGATGACTGATATGCTATTTCTATGTGATTGGGGCATTGTTTCTGAATGTATAGCCTAGAGCCAAAAGCCTTACCCTTTGATTATATCTCTTGGTCCCTATATTTGAGCCTAGACCTTTCTTTTCTGATTATGTACCCTGATATTATGAGCCAAATTCCTTGTCCAACCTATATAGCTATCTTAGTATTTAGCTAATACTCATTAGTTTAAAAATACAATAAGCTAAACAAGGCAAAGGGAAATTGATTGTGTAAATAAAAAAAAAAAAGAAAGGAAAGAAAAAGAAAAGAGGATCAGGACATAAAAAAATAAAAAATAAAAAATAAAAAAATAAAAAAAGGAGATCTCTGAGCTTGCTCTTAAAAAAAAGGGAAAAGGCAAAAGTAAAAAAAATTGTGAAAGTGATCAATAAAAAAGAGAAAGAAGTTATAAAAAAAGGGAGAAGAGAGTTAGTAATTTCCCTTTGTCTTGTTTAGGGAAAATTCGGAAAAAGATAATGAGGATTAGTTAGACACTAAATGGTTACTTAATTAGCCAAGTGACAAGAAAAACAAAGATCCTAGCCCTGCCTCACTACAAGCCTTAAAGACCCTTTGATGGAGGTAGCATATTGGACTTCAAGTTTCTAAATGGTAGTGTAGGTTGGAAGCATTCATGCATGATGATAATGAGTGAACTTCCTTATAAAAGAGAAGAGTGTGATTGATTGAATATATCTGGAAAGGAATTCAGTGGAATGTCAAATGAATCAAGTTAAGTCAAGGGTTGCAACTGTTTGAATGAGCATGAATTTTTGATTGAATGCTTATGTAATTGTTGATTGACTGGAGTTGGATGATTAATTTGATGTAGGAATTGGTTGACATTAAGTCCGGTCAATGCTTTAAGAAGTGTGGTGTTTTGCATAGATGGTTGATAAATTTAACTGAGTTATTAAAATTAACTATGTGTTGCTATGTGACTCTGTGAATTTTGAGCTAACAGACTAAGTTATGAGTGAAGTTTGTCTGATTACTTGAGGGCAAACAATTACCTAAGTTTGGGGTATTTTGTTAGCACCAAAATATATATCTATTTATTGTATTACTTTATGTGATTTTATATCTTTTTGGGTTGTTAATATGTGATGTTGCAGGTGAATAGGGCCCAAAAGAGTAAGTTAAGGCCCAAGTAAAAAAGAGAAGGTAAAAAAATAAAAAAGAAGAATTTGGCTTGTTTTGTTACACATTTTATTTTTTTACTTTCAGCAGAAGGCACACGTGGTTCAATTGGAACCATTGGATAAAAAAGGATGGATGGCTACTGATGAAATGAGGATTTTTAGTTTTTAGTTAATATGTGTAGTTTGTAAAAAAGTTCTTCTTGAACCTCATTGTTGATTTTGGAAAGTTACAACTAAATTTGCCGTAGCAACTCAGAAATTGAGATAAACTCGCTGTAGCATTGTACCAATTTGCAGTTTGCAAATATTTTTGTCATTTATGATTTTGAGATATACCCAGAAGCCTTTTTATATTGATAATTGTAACACCCCGTTCTAGAACCGGTTTGTTAACATCACGTATGGCATTAGGCGCAGTTACAATCACAAATATTGAATTGAAGTACGGATAAACTTTTCCTTTTTATTTATGAGCGTTTATATTTAAAATCAAATCTGTAATTAAAACAATTGCAATAGTTGTAATCATAACTTAAAATATGTGTGGAACACCT